GGTCAGTAAAAAAGACAAAAAGGAAAAAAAAAAAGATACAAAGGGCAAAGCATGTGAAAATCAAAGAATTGGCTTCTGCTGAAGGCTATTAGACAAATGCAGAATAATTTGTGATGTAAGCTAAAATGTAGTACTTTTAGTATATCTGAACCCCCTTTTCTTGCTGTTTTCTTTGCAAAGTGCTTAGCAACCCATACTATAAGCTAATGGAAACTACTTGTAATATTCATTCCTTATTATTTTGGCTGTAAATATTTCCTTAGAAATCCATTTCCCATTTTGGTTCTAAAACTAAAATTCCATCTTACTGATATTCAGCAAGCATTCCCTTTTGGCAGTGTTTCTGTGTAATAAACAAGATAAGGAGTGGAGATTGGCTGGAATGAACATCTAGAAAAGGTTTTATTTTCACACCTCTGATCTCTTTTTGTCATATCTTGGCCAAGGGCATAGCCCATTGAAGTATAAATATGTATGTTTTTATCTGTGTTCATTTCTCAAGTGATAGATCCTATCACCGTTCTAAGTCCAGAGGTAACATTCGAAGGTTCGTTTGGAAAAGTTTGGTCTTCTCATGCTCTTCAGCTGAGTAGGAGGAAAAGCCAAATCTTGTCTTCCCTGAGCCAGCATTCATAGGTCTCCATCTCTGTGATTGCACAGAGTCATTATGTAGCAGTTGGCTCTGATACGCTTGCACAGACACAAATTGTGTCCGACAGGACTGATGTCTCCTGGACTTTGCTGTCATTTGAAATACTGGCATGAGGATGGGACTGGTGAAAGGGGGAGGGTAGGAGTGGGGAAAGAGCTGGTTCCTTTAGCACTCTTCCTGTGAAGTTTTGAGATCTTTAATATTTGATAGCTGTGAACTGCTTGATAAGTAGTTTTCCAGATGAGATTGATAACAATAACTGATTTGCAACAGCTGGCTAGCTTTTGGATTCGAAGAGATATATTTCGTGTATAACTTGCTTCTTCATGCCATCCATAAATCTGTTTTAAAAAAATAAAAAGAGGTTATCTAGTGGAATGGTAATTAGAATGATTCCTCCCCTTCCTGTTAGTTTTATCTTTCCTGCATTCAAACCACTCATGCATAATAATGAAAAAGATAATATCTTTGTAAAAAGTTTTGTTCTCATGCTTGAGCTCAGTTTCAGAGAAGACATACTATAATATGTGCATTACAATTCTTTTTAAAGTTCAGGTTATTTTAGCAGAACAGGTTATTTCTGGATATCTCTAGTATATCCTGTCGAGTATTTCATATGTGTTTCAAACATTCCAATATACAAAAATTAAAGGTACATGGTTTCATTTTGCAAATGAATTCTGATAGCCATTCTCCAGTTCTTCTCACAATGATAGAGGAGGCAATAGCATTTGATATACTCTCCCTAATGTTTTTATTAAGAGTCTGCTCTGTATAAAAGGCTGTGCTAGATTTATTGAAGGTTCTATAGGTAGTTATTTATCACCCGAAGAGTCATACTTCAAATTATTGCTTACAGCCAGTCATTGCTTCCTTTTTTCCATTCCCACCAGGACCACCATCACTCTCAAGTCCTGTACTCTCACCTGGGACACTTGCTATGGTCTAATAGCATCCTCTAAATCATCCCTGATTCAGCTGTCAGTTATCTGCCCA